TCTCCTCCCCCCCCGGCATCCCCAGGCGGTAGCATAAAGCCGGCTTGGAAAAAAACCTCCTCCGTACCCTCAGAGAGATCCCTCCCTCCTGGATAATTTCTAAAGCCCTTTGACTTTCCCTGCGGGATCTTGGCAGATGCAAACTGTTATGTGGTTTCTCACGTCTTCCCTTTGCATATCTGCTAAACGTCACCAGTGGAGCCCGGGCGAAGGGGACCGGTGGGCTGGTTGCCCCTGACCTTGGATCTGGTGTTACAGGGGAAGGGCGGGACTTTCCCGAGCACTGGAATGACTCAGGTGCTCCTGGGAATCCCTGCCAGCCCTCCCCGGGGGGCAAGGCGTACTGTTCATTTAGCTTGGAGGGATAATAGGCTCATAGGATTAAAACTCCATTTCATCAGCAATTTTACACATTTGCTGCAGACAGCAAATGAGAAACAAAATAAATATAATTGCATAAACACATACATATCTATTTAATAACCCTGGCAGTGCCAGCGAGATGCTGGCAGGAGATCAGACAGGCTGAGAGCACCACATCCCCCGGGGAGAGGATTCCTGCGCTCCTCCTGTGCCGATTGCACTCTCCCTGTTCCTCTCCCTTTGGGAAAGCGAAACGGTGGGACAGGGACAGGGGATGCTGCGACTCTGGGACCCCCTTTAACGGCCATTTCAGCCCGCTCAGTGTAAGGGCACAATGTCTCGTAGGGACATGGCAGAGGGGAATACCAGCAGCATCGTCTGCAAGGGCAGTGGAGGCAGAGCCAGGCATGCCAGAGGAAAATGAAGCCAGATGGCTTCAGGCTCGATAAATCAACTAGTACCGGGGGGGGGTCAGGGCTTTGCAGCAGGGCCAGGAGGGGTCCCTGTACCACTGGGATGAGGTTAGGGGTCCCCAGGAGGCTGTATCCCCATCCCTGGAGTTCTCCTTACGTTTGCAGTCACGCTGGTTCTTGGTGAGCTCGAAGCCGGGGCGGCACTCGCAGGCGATGCCCCCCTTGGGGGTCTCCCGGCAGATGTGGGCGCAGCCGTGGTTCTTGTTCATGCAGTTCATTCCTTCTAAAAGAGAGAAGGAAGCAAAGAAAAGCTCCAAAAGCTCGCCGGCACTGGTCTGCGGCGGCAGAAGGATGTCTGGGGTGGGACGGGGATGGGGAGATGAGGGCAACGAGGGGACAACCTTGCAAGCGAGGACCTTAGGGGGGGCAGGATAACCCCGGGCAACGCCTCGAAGGGCAGCACCTCCTGGCACAGAGCTGCCAGGCAAGGTGGACAAAGCCACCCTGGAGCCTTGGACCTTTGATTCCCTCCTACTGCCTTGGGTGAGACCCTGCTCCCACGCCTCGGGGCAAGCAGCGGGCGCAGAAGCGGCCGTTGCCCACCAGCCCTTCCTGGCACCGACGGGATGGAGCGATGCAGCTTCTTTTTGGAAAACAAGGAGGATGGGGTGATCACGGTTGTGATTACAGACCCCTGGCAGGCAGTCCTGGCATCATTCAGCAGAGCAAGGAAGGGTTTTAGAGGGGCAGAGCCGGCTGTGGGGGGGACGGCCCTGGAGCTGCTCCGCCGGGATGAGCCGCGGGGCTGTACCCGTAAGCTGCAGGATGCATGGACAGCTCGGGGAAGATTCACACACCGGCAGCCCCTGGGAAATGAGGGTTTGGGGAGCTGCTGGTTCCCGTTACCAAAGCTGCCAGTTCACCCTCGCTGACCTGTCCACAGCACCCTCCCACCCCAGCCCCTCTTGGGGCAGGGGGACACTCAGCTGCAGCAAGCCGGG